ATCTTTAGGCATGTACGGAAGCATTGTGAGATTAAGGTTCACGGGCAGGCATTCTTCGTTAGGTTATCGAATAATTACTGCTGTTCCTGTACTTACTCCCTCGGGCAGCTGCCAAGTATTTTGCCACTTTCAAAAAGACGAACACGCTGGTGCACCATCGATATGTTCGCGTTACAGCTGGGTAGCCGCGTGTATATAGTCCTTCGGTGCCCCTTTTCGGCACCCAGATCGCCATCTGGTCTGACCATGATCAGAACTTTTTGGATGGACATCCGCTGGCCCTTCCCTTCCAATCTTCCTGTGAGTTGAATGTGTCAGCAAAGGTGTTGAACAGTTCGGTCCAGCAACGTGTTTAGTGTGCAACTGTGAGCCGGTGTTCAGCTGAGGAACAACAGTATCCAGGAGGGCCACCAACACCATACAACAGCGGCCAATCTACCTCACAAACGTACATTTGCCTGCACCCCAGGCTAGCTGAAACAGACTGCAACATGCAAAGCAGCTGAGAAACCACAGCTCGAAAACGTCTTGATTGTCGATGGCTACCCAAGTCATTTTACGGGGCAAAGCACGTGCTAAATGAACGGACAGCGACTAATTTTGAGAGACCATTCTCCGCATTAAAGGATTCTTTGCAGCGATCTCTCGACTGTTGAACAATAAAACTGGGTAGGCATGGAACACAGACCATGTGACATAACTGCTCGCCGTGTGATGCAGCAGGAGGCTGCGGATTACCAGAACTACAAAATTGTCTACAGAACATGTCACAACGATGGGATCGCCAACTACGGTGAAGGAACTAGACGAAAACGTCATGCCAACTTATTCTTGCCCCACGTTGGACCTTAGATGGGTACTCATCCCAGGACGAGACGGCACAAAGATTGGTATTCAGCTATCGCGTTTTGCCTACGCGTAAACTGGCCTACTAGCTCTCAATGTGCCATGTCATGGCCTAAACAAAAGCGATATGAGGGTTTCATAGTGAACTTAAGCAAGTCGACCAGACTTATAATGAACTCATCTAATGGGTAGGTAGAGGAAAAACCAGATCAGACATGCCCAGCAGAGACCTAACTAAGATCTGTTGAAGTTAAAACGAACAACGCAGGCAGTTACCGAACCACCCAGAGGTCCAACGGAAAATAAAAGCGACGAAAAACTTGATCAGTCTAAGGCGGACAGCCAAGTAAATTGCTGTTCAATTCTATACACCAAACGCTTTGACAACCGCAAGTCAACTAAATGCTCTGTAACGACAACGAAAAATAGCCTAGTCTAGCAGGCCACTCCTCTGCTGGAAAGCTTAACCCTGTTATCTTCGGTTGAAGATATTTTGGAATGCTCCACGACCATCTTCGGTATAATTCTGTCTGATCTATTTACGAATTTTCCCCCCCCCTCCCCTTATTTAATTCCTACTTCTTCAACAATGCTGTCCGCCTCCCCTCGCCTTGTACAATGCCGGCTGCCTCAAGATGCAACTGCTTCGACTCGCTAAGCTGAAGACCCGGGACTGACTTTGTGGCGGATAGCCAGCAATGCTGTCCGCCCCCGCCTTCTTCAATACCCGTTGGCTTGCACGCGCAACTGTTTGCGGTCTGCCTTGCTCGCGCACACACGCTCGCGTGCAAAAATAGTCCCGGTTGCCAAAGTGCAAATTGAGGACACTGCTCCTCTGCCAACGCAGCATGGGCCTCTGTACACGACACCCCTTTCGGGCAATGTTTCGAGTCGATCGGACACCACATGAACTGGTTCTAATTCACATCAAAGCAGCGGCCACCCCCCACCCGCCCACTTCCTCATACACGCTCTTCTATACCTGGCTTCCTTCAGCACACGTTTGGCGTTATTGAACATGCGTTGTTCCATTGTCTAGTCAGGCTATAGTTGGCCGGATCATTCGTTATTGATTACGTGTATCCACTGTTAAGGTTTGTGCATTGCTTATTTTTCACTATTTGTTCAATAGTACCGTACTATATCAGATGCTGTTACCACTGGGAATTGACGTATCCCATTAGGACTGGATACTGAACGAAGGGATACCAAATACTCGAAACGCTTGTCATGTTTGGAAATTTTCTAGTTCTAGCGCGGCGGTACCACTAGGAACCCTGGACGATGCATTGCTCGTATCGAACCGGATGACCAAACGAAGCCTTTACCCATTAGATAGAAACCGGTTTCAGTGTGGGCGTCAGTTGTCTTTCAAGTAATGTCGTCGACACGCCAGCTTAGTGGATACCTGCGAATCCATCGCAGCACAGTTGAAGAACTGGTGTCAAGATAACAGACAAATTTTCGTCATTTTTCCAACCCAGTACGTATTGCATCCGTACACTGGACCGTAATATACGCACAATCGAAAACAAACACTACAATATCGCGTTTGCAAACTCACACATCACTCTATGGTCCGTCTTTCACACAAACATGCAACCACTTTTATCAAAGTCAATTGAGACGACGGAATACTCATCACACGCCGGTCACTAAGGCTAAGCTCGTGATAAGCAGACCTATAGGCGTGAAAAGCCACCAGTAAGGCGAGACGGAGAAGGGGAGGCCGAAATTTAAGTGTCATTCCCTGTGTAAATGCAGGACACCACTCACTACGAGCTCGAAGTCGTGGTTTAAAAGGTTGGTAACTGACGGAATAACCCGATTCGACATCCGAATAGGACCGCGACTTTAGCACGTGATCCGCCGAAGGAACCCATTACGCAACAGGAGGTCTAAAAAAGAGCACTTGATCGAGATGGTCGCCCATCAGAAGTGCTGAGCGCATGTATAATTCAGTTGGATGCACGGTTCAGACACAAATCTAGGAAGTAGGAGCCCTATCCCCATACTGCACCCACTTGGTCGTAAGGAAAGTTTTCAGGACGAGGTATCACCGTGTGAAGGGTACCATGACGTAGGCCTTTTTAAAACTGCCGTAAATATTTGTACACACTCCAAATCGTTTCTGCAGTACGGTAACGTGAATAATTTAACTTGATTGTGGGTGTGCTGATCAGCCCTGTCAAGTTCATCAGACCCTCGAACACCGCCACTGTTACCACCAGCTGACTAATATGTCACATGAATTATATTTTTGCATTTGACCCTGCCGAAGTTTAATTTTAAAACGTGATGGGAAGTTTGGAGAGCCGATCTTTGGTGCAGCTCTGGTCCTATTGTACCAAGTGACTCAACTTCACGTGAAAGTCTGCAGCCAGTCGACAGTAATGGGTAGAGGTTACTTGTGATGCCGTGAGTTTTTAGCTTAAATGAATGCTACCACAAAGACAAGCATTTTGGCGCAATGAGGCTGGTAACGAAAACGAGGCAGACTGGAGTGGCCTCTTCTGGCTTATCATTCGTCATTACTCAGCTATGCCCAACCCCAGGCTTGAAACTCCCGACGCTCGAACCCGCATTTTATTGCTTCAAAGTCCATTGAGCTACGGGTTCTTTGTCGTGTCGGATATAATCAGGCGTGTTAGTCAAGGGCAAGCACCGACCGCTCCACAGAACTTGCCAGCCTCGTTATCTTTTGCGTATATAATTTAACACCATGCGACTGCCTACGACGCTCTAGATCAACCCCAAAGGTAAAACGGGGAGATTAGATCCCATAATGTGCTCGGTGAGCGCCCCTTAACATATATTTGCCTAGAATAGCTTTCCTAAAACTATCAAATCAAATAATAAAACCTCGATGGATCAATAAGATATAAGTCTGATCAGCCTCAATACATTCTGGGCTCATATTATGAATCCGGTTAGTAACATAAGTGGCAGATGTAGTG